TGGCCAAGCACTTGAGCTTCTCCTGCCCCAGCACAAGCCCTGAGTTAAAATACCTGGTTGAAAAGACCATTAATTAGATCAGAAATGCTTTTGCTGTTCTACTGTCCCAACAGAGCAACTTCAATTGGGGACATCCCCCGATTTCTGAGTGGTTATTAAACATTCCACTTAATCAGATGAGTAGTCTGGAGTTAATTGATAACAGCTGCAGGTAGAACACTCATCATGAGAGCAGCCCAAACGATCACAAGAGAACTGCTGCCAGTCTGCCACTTTCCGTTTTCTTTCCAGTGCAATCACCGATCCTTAAATGAAAAATCAGCCTTCCTGTTCCATTCACACCCCACTCTGCTCCCAGGAGCTCCCAGTAACATCTCTGTACCCCACCAGCTTCCCTCACACTTGTCTTGCAAGAAATGGCAAGAGTCAAGACTCCACCACGCCATTAATACCCCCACTTTGCACAAGTAGAGAGAAATTAAAACAACCCTCCCAAAAACTCTCAGGTAACCCAAGAGCCAGGAATTCAACCCACAAGCCTTCCCTACTCCTGGGACTGCTGTAAAACCAGAAGACAACTACAACTATGTACATAATGATATATTTGGGGGCACCAAATGGGAGTGATGTCTGAGCTTCTCCAAGCTGGGTTCTCTCTCGTTGGACTATGGGATGCTGCCTTGAAAATCACACAGAATCACAGAATTGTAGGGGTTGGAAGGGACCTCTGGAGATCATCCAGTCCAAGCCCTCCTCTCACAGCAGGTCCACCCAGAGCAGGTCCCACAGGAACACCTCCAGGTGGGTTTGGAATGTTTCCAGAGATGGAGACTCCACCACCTCTCTGGGCAGCCTCTTCCAGGGCTCTGCCACCCTCACAGCAAACAAGTTCCTCCTCATGTTTAGATGGAAATTCCTATGTCCAAGTTTGTGCCTGTTACCTCTTATCCTGTCACTGGGCACCACTGAAAAAAAGACTGGCTCCATCCTCCTGACACCCACCCTTTCAGTATTTATAGGTGTTGATCAGATCCCTCCTCAGTCTTCTCTTCTCCAGACTAAGACGACCCAAGTCATTCATTCAGATCACAAACCCAGCACGAACCATCTGGATTCTGCATCCTTTTGTCAGCCAGATGTTGGACATATCCAGACAAACTAAATCAGAGGTAAGTCCCTCAGCTGGCACAGGGAAAAGAAGGATTTGTGGCATTTATGAAGTGAGGAAGAACAGTCTCATGTGTGCACACACACATATACAACACAGGAAAAGGCAGGCAGGACATTTAGTCATTTTAAGATCTAAATGAAGATATGTTTTTACGGCAAGTACAACAGTTTGCAAACAAAAAGAGCCACGAGGCACGGTCACTGAGTTATACTGAAGCAGATACTTGTTTCCACATCTCCGAGCTAAGACCGTGAAGCGCAAAGATCCAAGGTGGAAAATTACCTAAGTCATTTCAACATAAAGATCACAACTCTATAAATTAAGGTTTTGTCTGTGCGAGGCTTAGCTAGCATCTATCATGAACTGCTTGATAATTTGATCCACTTCTGGACAGGGAAACAAACTACACACTCTTCCAAAGTCACTTCTAGACCCATTTTCCATTTTCTTTCCCTACTTTCTCTAATTGTTTTTTTTTATTTGCCACCTTCAAAGCCAGGATCACAACCATCATTCTGCTCTACCTATTTTTTTTTATTTGCCAGCTTCTACTTTGATCAAAGCCAGGATCACAACCATCATTCTGCTCTACCTACACATTTTCAGCCCTGTGCAGTTTAAGATAAAAATTCTTTTCAGTATGGGAACATTACCTTCAATCAAGGAACTTGAATTCAGAATACGTTCCCCAAAGACACAGGCTTTTGGCAGCTGCCAGTCAGGCTCCCGGGGGGGGCAGAAGATTTCAATCCATTTTGTATATTCTTAACCTACATGAAGTTTCACTTTGGTTGGGGACAGGTTTTTCCTGACGGCTTCTAAAAAGAAGAGATGTTTGCCAAGTCAAGAGAGCTCCCGTGGGTGCCAGGAGCCTTCCCAAGGCAGCAGCTTCGGTGCTGTCACCTCCTCGATGACACAGGCGGCGGAGCAAACAGCTCTGCAGACACCCAGGTATAAACACGGGGCTAAAAGGAGAGCAAGAATCTGGTTTAACCTCGGTTGTTATAGCAATAAATATAAAAGTATAAGCAAGAGCCTCTCTGCGTACCATCCCTTGGCATAAATTAAAAACAATCGGGTCTTATCTCTCAGGAGCAAACAGTATCTGGACAATATGCTGTTAACTACAAGGAGCTTAGTTAGTTAGAAGAGGCTTCTAAATTTGACCTCAAATCAAGACACTCAGGTCTCTTCTTGAGTCACCCCAACAGCTTATATCCCTGTAACCATCATCAGCTCAACTTCCTCATATGAAAAATTCTGTTGCAACCCCAAATTGCCCTGCATCTCCAGAGCCTACAGCAGAAATGCTCAGACCAGGCTCTCAGCAAGCACGGTAAATTCATTAAAAAGGAGGTTTACAGCATAAAGATTTATTCAATGACTCGTACTGGACATGTCATGGTGTAGAAAGGTCCCCAACAAGGAGCTTGTGAGGTGTGAGTCCTAAGTTCACCCCAGCAGACATTTTTTGGGAGGCTGAAGGGCCGCATTCCCCATCCCACATCATCACCATCACCCAAGAAAGAAAAGTCTTGATGCTTCCACATCATCACCACAGCTGGACTTGACCATGTGCTGGTTTCAGAGGTCACAGAAGAAGTGCAAATTCAACCAAGACCTCCAACCATCCATGCTGCCTTCTGCACCACACGAAAACTTCCAACATGGTGACTGGATGTGCAGCCTTCACACCTTTCCAGACACCCAAGGGCTTTTAAAAACAATCAGGTCTTATCTCTCAGGGAGCAAACAGTATCTGGACAATATGCTGTTAACTACAAGGAGCTTAGTTAGAAGAGGCTTCTAAATTGGGTCTGTTCAACCTCAAATCAAGACACTCAGAGCTCTTCTTGAGTCACCCCAACAGCTTATATCCCTGTAACCATCATCAGCTCAACTTCCTCATATGAAAAATTCTGTTGCAACCCCAAATTGCCCTGCATCTCCAGAGCCTACAGCAGAAATGTTCAGACCAGGCTCTCAGCAAGCACAGTAAATTCTTTAAAAAGAAGGTTTACAGCATAAAGATTTATTCAATGACTCGTACTGGACACGCCACCGTTTAGAAAGGTCCCCAACAAGCAGCTCGTGAGGTGTGAGTCCTAAGTTCACCCCAGCAGACATTTTTTTGGGAGGCTGAAGGGCCGCATTCCCCATCCCACATCATCACCATCACCCAAGAAAGAAAAGTCTCGATGCTCAGACCAGGCTCTCAGCAAGCACGGTAAATTCATTAAAAAGGAGGTTTACAGCATAAAGATTTATTCAATGACTCGTACTGGACATGTCATGGTGTAGAAAGGTCCCCAACAAGGAGCTTGTGAGGTGTGAGTCCTAAGTTCACCCCAGCAGACATTTTTTGGGAGGCTGAAGGGCCGCATTCCCCATCCCACATCATCACCATCACCCAAGAAAGAAAAGTCTCGATGCTTCCACATCATCACCACAGCTGGACTTGACCATGTGCTGGTTTCAGAGGTCACAGAAGAGCAACCAAAGTGCAAATTCAACCAAGACCTCCAACCATCCATGCTGCCTTCTGCACCACACGAAAACTTCCAACATGGTGACTGGATGTGCAGCCTTCACACCTTTCCAGACACCCAAGGGCTTGGTGACATCCTTAAATAGAGCAAGACAACCCCAAAGTCAGGCGACTGGTTGAAAGCTGGACTATCAACACAAAAAGGCACATCTTATTCTCCTATGAGCCTCTCCTATGAGTCACTGCCCTCCTCCCAAAGCCCCAGATCCAAAATTCTCCTCCCAGCGTTCCCCACCATCCCTCCAAACCCCTCCTCAAACACACACATGAAGAGGAAAAATCTTTTTCTTCTCCTCCCACAAAAAGCTTTTCCCTTTTCTGAACCTCAAGCCTCCGTTCTTGTCTTTTTGTCCATCAAAACCCAGCAACAACTCAAGGCAGAGCTATTTGAACACTAAATAACTATAATCACAGGTGTAAACTCGGTAGTTGAAGGGCAGGACAGGAAACCACAGAAGCGTCTTCCTGAAAACAGGCTCAACAGCTTTACTTTTGGAGACAGATCACAAGATGTTGTGGCCTCCCCACTCAAGCGATGTCCATCACAGTGTCACTGGCCACCCCACCATGTGCGAACAAGCTCAGAGCAGGAACACAACCAAAAAGGGCTTCACATACATTTGAAGAAACTGAATCCCAGGCTGTTGAAGCCACTTGTCCACGATAACATCACCACTGAACAGAAGAACCAAACTGGGAGCCAGAAACATCACAACACCATTTCACACACGTGTGGGTGCCGCTCTCCAGGCCCCAAGAAGCTGATTTCTGCTGACAGGCAGCAGGACATGGAGGTGAACTACTTCTTCACAAACACAATGGACCCAGCATTCCTAATTATTGCTCTTTTAAGCAAATTACATACAAAACTTAGACGCCCGCAGACACTGCACTGGGATACAGGTAGGGCTGTAGTTTCTAGAGGAGCATCTCATGACGTGCACCAGCTTTTGTCTGTTTCTTACTGATGTATTAGTTCCTCTCCCATCCTCTTCCTTCCTTGAGCACCTTCCTATTTCATGCCCAGCAAAACCACATTAAAAGCCAGAAGCAGCTTGAAAATGGTCTTGTCTGGAGATGTTAAAGCACAAGACAGCTCTGGGGTAAGGTAGAAGCCTTACTCCAGCCAAACTTCTACTCCTCAATGTTTGTTCCAGGACCAACACCAGCAGGTTCATCTCCTGGAGGACACGGTCACCCATTTCCAAATCCAACAGCCTACGTTCAGCATGAGGTATGTGGTCAGTGAACACCATCACCCCTTGAGATGACTGTTCCTACCTTCTTTGGTGGAGACCTGCATCCTGGTGGCCGGCAGCCTGCAGAGCCTGTGCTTGGTGATCTGCACCAGGCCCTTGGGTGAGGAACGTTTTGGTGTCACGGAGGCTTTTCCTCGTGAGGAGTTTTTCTTCCTGAGATGGAAGTGGCTTTTCAGAGGCGTGATGGGCGAGGAGCCATTCTTCTTATCTGTCGGGGAACTGCGAAGACACAACACCACACAGTTAAAAAATGATAAAGGTGATCGAAACACACTTGGTCCCCTTGGCCAGTGCTCAGAAGAGAAGCTGGGACACCAAGCTCCACACTGTTCCCCTACTCAAGGGTGATAAGAAGGATAAGAAGCATTGAACAAAAAATTGCAAGTAAATAGGAAAACGTGACGAATTTCTGGCAAAGGACAGATAGAGAATGAGGTCTCTGACAGCCTAATTCAGCTCATTCCCTTCTGCTTTCTGCTCAACAGATGCAGGGAAGAAGATGCTGTCCTTTTGTGAGATGAGAGGGGGTCTCATCTCCCCAGCTGCCAAGAAATCCTAAAAAAAATCCCAGCTTCTGGGCCTACAGGAAAGATGGGAAAGCCGGGAAGGGACTCTTGATCAGGGGAAGGAACCATAGGATGAGGGGGAACAGTTTTAAACTGAAAGAGGGGAGATTTAGATGAGATCTCAGGAAGAAATTCTTCACTGAGGGTGGTGAGACACTGACCCAGGTTGCCCAGAGAAGCTGTGGCTGACCCATTCCTACAGGGGTTCAAGACCAGCTTAATGGGGCTTTGAGCAACCTGGTCTGGTGGGCAGGGGTTCAAGACCAGGTTAATGGGGCTTTGAGCAACCTGGTCTAGTGGGAGGTGTCCCTGCCCACAGCAGGGGTTTGGACATGATCTTTAAGGTCCCTTCCAACCCAAACTATTCTATGATTCCATGATTCTCCAAGCACCTTAGTCCAGAGTGATGTTCCCAGCACATCCCACCCACAGACACATCCCCCAGCAAACCAGGAGGGCCAGGCAAGGACAGAAATCTGTGTTGGTTAGAGTATCTGGGAAAGAGAAGCAGGAATCAAAGCATCAGAACCTCAATCAGGGCTGTGTTACCAACTCATTGTGTCACTTGGAACAGTCATTTAGGCCACAGCCCTCATTTTTCAAGACCTAGGGCTTGGAGTTACTCCATCAAGATAGGAGCCAAAGCACACGTCCACTGCGCTGAGGACACTTCCGAGGTCAGTGGTGGAGTAGAGGTCACACAGCTGTGTGACACCTCATCCCGCTCATCCCTTCCCTGAGGTACAGGCTGGGCTTGCATCCAGCCCTGCTGAGAAAAGCAGCACAAAACAGCTTTCCACCCAGGAACACAATGTAACGAAGCCCTCACAGCACTTCCACGACACACCAGCTTTCAGAGAAAGTTCAGTCCCAATCTCTTATCTGTTTCCCCTCACCTCCCAACCTGGTGCAAACCCCTTTGGCAGATAACCCACACACCTTTTCCCTCCATTAGGCTTCATTTATAACCTTCCCATTGGCAAGCTGGAGAGGTGGGCCCAGGTGAACCTCATGAGGTTCAACAAGAGCAAATGCAAGGTTCTGCACCTGGGCCGGAACAGTCCTCGCCACCAATACAAACTGGGGGGTGATCTCACCTCCCAACCTGGTGCAAACTTCTTCGGCAGATAACTCAACCCACACACCTTTTCCCTCCATCAGGCTTCATTTATAACCTTCCCATTGTACTCCATCCCTATCAGACACAGCCAGAATTTGCTCCACAAGAGCCCAGGAGTATCTGCTGGTCCAGCACAGCGCGTTCTCCCAAGGTAGACACAACAGCCACAGATCTGTCACCCACTTGATAAGGAGAAAAAAGAGTGAGAGCTCCATCCCTATCAGACACGGCCAGAATTTGCTCCACAAGAGCCCAGGAGTATCTGCTGGTCTGGCACAATGCGTTCTCCCAAGGTAGACACAACAGTCACAGATCTGTCACCCACTTGATAAGGAGAAAAAAGAGTGAGAGCCTTCAGAGAGAATGTTTTGGGGTTACTGCTAGATAGCCACAACCTTCCCCAGGGAGGGAAGTACCAACAAATCATCACAGAGAGAGCTTCAGAGCTCTCCTCCTATCCCTGCACCATCCCATGGTCTGCACAACACTTTATGGAGACAGACTATACACAAAAACTTCGATTTAAGCTACTTCTCCTTCTTTTCCCCAGCTCCCAACACAACAAAGTTATGGGAGTTTGAAAATATATCAACGCATCTATTTTCTGCCCTTTGAATATTACTCTGTTATTCAGGTCAGGGAGGAGTCTCCTAAGGGCTGCAGCAAAGTCTCTGGAGAAGAGCGATGGGAGATGAGAAGAAAACCCAGCTCTGCTTGAAAGGTTAAAATCAGAGTTCCACAAACAGCTAGACAGCTATTTCCTGCCCTTTGAATATTACTCTGCTATTCAGGTCAGGGAGGAGTCTCCTAAGGGCTGCAGCAAAGTCTCTGGAGAAGAGCGATGGGAGATGAGAAGAAAACCCAGCTCTGCTTGAAAGGTTAAAATCAGAGTTCCACAAACAGCTAAAACAATTAAAACCCGAAGACCTGTCAACCCTGGAAAGCTGGATGCTTCCAGACAGAACAAAGTCACCACACTTGGAAAGAAAAAGGCAAATAAATTCCAGTATACAACAATCCTCGTTGGAATTTCACTTATGACCATGACTTTTGCAGCCAACAGCCACAAAATACAACCAGCACAACAATGCTCTGAAGATGACCAGCAACTTACCCCGAGCTTCCTTTTCTCTTGATGATTTTTGTCCGACTCTTGACTTTATAACTGGAGAGTGCAGTGGTGTCACTGAAGGAGGATTTCACCCCACCGAGACCGACAGCGGCAGCGCTCGCAGGTGGTGGGGCCACCCCAGTTTGAGGGAGGTTGGGGGCCAGAGGCTTTTTCTGATCCTCAGATCGCCACCTGAACGCGGACTTGGAGGTGGAGGGCGAGGTCTGGAGGCTGGAGGCTTTCCACTTATATTTGCTGGGAGAAACACCCAGTTTGGTCTGCAGTCCCGATTTCTTCAGCTTTGCTCCCAAATCTGCTTTTGGTGATAATTTAGCACCTCTGTCCACTCCACCGGCGACCTTCTTAGCACTTTCAGAAGCTCTAGGGCTGACCCATCTCTTCACAGCGCGAGAGCATTTACCAGGGTTTGCAACCCAGGTGTAATTAGTTTTCCTGAATTTTGAAGCTTTGCTGGAGACTGACGTTGAGGCAGCTCTTTGGAGACCGGGACTTTTGGGGACTACAGAAAACTTGCTCTTCACTGGAGACATCCCAACCACCAAAGTGGCAGCCTGAGTGGGTCTAGAGCACGCCTCGCCATTTCCAAGCAGCTTTGGCTCTCTGGAAGCATCCCTGACTTGCTCACAACCAGATTGTCCTGGAGCTGGTGGTTTTGCCTTCAGCCGTACCGAGTGCCGAGCCGCCTCGCGATCTGGCAACACCGAAGGCTGCTGAGGCTCCGATTTCAGCGTCACGGCGCTTTCACTGGAGCTTCCACAGGAGACAGAGGAGCTCCCGGTCACGTCACCGGCCAGACGCACCGTTCTAGGCTTATCCTCCACGCTCACGTAGGCTGAGCTCACCAACCGATGAGATGAACTAAACGAAACCGAGAGAGAGGGTCTCCTCTCTTCGTTTTGGCTCACGTACAGAGAATTCGGCACGTTTTTATCGTCGCCTGAAGCAGCGACCACCGTTGGCAGCCCAGAAAACTCACAGTAAGAATCCACATCAGCAAAACCTTCCATATCGACGAACGGGTCAGCCCTCTCCGGCAGCTGGATGCCCACAACTATATTACCATCCGTGGTTAAGTCCACGTGTCTCTCTGGGGATGATTCTGGTGGCTCAGGTATCTGGCTGTCCCTATGGCTTCCAAAAGCCCCAGACGTGCTGGCACTCTCACCACCTTGAATGTCACATACTGATCCCGGTGGCCTGTTGACAAGGGAGTATTTTTTCCTCCAGGAGCGAGCCTGGCGCAGCTGGAAATCCCTGGGAGCCTGCTGGGGGTACCTGGTGGAAAAGGCCCCCCTCCTGCTGAAGGAATGCTGGCGGGGGTTGTTCCACCTCGGTGGCACAGATGACAGCGGCCGTGGCACATCCCCGTGAGTGTTTTTATGATTGTTTATGAGACCTAAGGAGAAGAAGACAGCGTCTGTGTTAATCACAGGTCCCACAGGAGTTTGACAGCATCACAGTGCTGGTTGTCCTCAGGCTGCGGTGAGGACCAGCGCTCCACGCAGCCTTGCACAGGCCACATGTCAGGTAACTGGTGCTGGAAGGGAAAACTCAAATATCTCCCTCAATCCTCGTGAAAATCAGTCACAAAAGCAATTTCATAGGACAACTCAATGCAGGCCTGAACTGCAGACTCCCCTACAGACTCTTAACACTAATTAACACTGACTAGTACCGTCTGCCACTTTTTATCCCTTTACATTCTTTTTTTATATACCAAAATGGACGCTTGGATTCTTGGTTTTGGAGCTTATTTTTTTTAAAAATGCTCATTTTATTTCTGGGTATCTGCTCAGAGGAGTCTCTGAGTGTCTGCTTGTGTACGTAGCCCAGCACAGCCACCGCCACCCCCAAACACAACGCAGAGGATCACAGAATCATTTCCAGTTGGAAAAGAACTTTAAAGATCAAGTCCAACCATTAACATAACACTGCCAAGTCCACCAAGAGGTCCCTCAGCACCATGTCTACCAGCCTTTTAAATACCTCCAGGGATGGTGACTCCACCACCGCCCTGGGCAGCGTCTTTCAAGGCTTGACAATCTTTTTGTTGACTAAATTTTTCCTAATATCCATCCTGAACCTCCCCTGGTGCAACTTGAGGCAGTTTCCTCTTGTCCTATCGCCCATTCCTTGGGAGAAGAGAACGACCTCCCCCTGGGCTACAGCCTCCTTTCAGGGAGTTGGAGAGAGCAGTAAGGTCTCCCCTCAGCCTCCTTTTCTCCCCAGCTCTCTCAGCTGCTCCTCGTCAGACTTGTGCTCCAGACCCTTCACCAGCTTCCTGACTCTAATTCTTTAAAGCAGCGATGAGGAGGTTCCAAGGCATCCCCAGCTTCACTGTTGAGTCACTGCACATCCCTCTGCCAAGCCACCACACCTCCCCACTGCTTTGGTCTACTAAAAAAGTCGCTTGGATAACAAATACGTGTCAATTAGGGAGGGTCTGAGCTTGTTAAATATCAGTGTTTGGAAAACCCCTTCAATAAAAGGGATTATCAAAGGATTTTTGAGCATTTTAGGCATGTGTCAGCACAGAAAAGTTTTTCCTACGAGGAGGAGAGACAGAGCTACAGGAAGAGCAGTGTCAGCAGATCCCTCCTGGAGGAGGCAAGGACCATGTTTTCCTCTCTCTTATCACACCTCCTCCCACGCAGGAGCTCCTGGACAGAGGCAGATCCCCCGCAAGGCCCGAGCGGAGTTTGTGGCCTTGCTAATGAGGAAAAATTACCTTGAGGTCTATAAATAGAGCCAGTTACTGCTAAGAATAAGTGCTCATGCTCACCAGAGCTAGGAAAGGGCACGCAAATAAATTCTCCCCACTCTTCTGCCACAATAAGGAGTCGAGGGACAGAGGGTGAGGGGCAAATCCAGCCCCTGTGCCACCAGCCCCGGGGGCTGCAGGGCAGGGGACACCCTCCTTACCCCCAGTCCGGAGGCCATGAAGAGTCCAGTGGCAGGAGTGGGGATCCCCTGACCCGTGGGGACCCCCAAACCTCCCCCAGCACTCCCTGATCCCTCCCTGCCTTGGCCGACCCTGCACTCCTGGCTCCTCTCCCCTCCCATTTCTCCCAAGCGCTCCTGGATCCTTTCCACCTCCCCCCCCCATCAGGCCCTTCCCAGGCCTCAGTGTTTCCCACCCAGGGACCTCTCTGTTCCCCTTCCCCCTCCAGGGTCTCCTCACAACCTTCTCCTTCCCCCGGCTCCCCTCAAACCCCGCCCCTCAACCCCCGGGACTTCAGGGTCCCCTCACAACCTGCCCCTCCCCGCCTCAGGACTCCAGGGTCCCCTCCCAACCCGTCCCTTCCCCCTTCAGGACTCCGGGGTCCCCTCACAACCCGTCCCTTCCCCCTTCAGGACTCCGGGGTCCCCTCACAACCCGTCCCTTCCCCCTTCAGGACTCCGGGGTCCCCTCACAACCCGTCCCTTCCCCCTTCAGGACTCCGGGGTCCCCTCACAACCCGTCCCTTCCCCCTTCAGGACTCCGGGGTCCCCTCACAACCCGTCCCTTCCCCCTTCAGGACTCCGGGGTCCCCTCACAACCCGTCCCTTCCCCCTTCAGGACTCCGGGGTCCCCTCACAACCCGTCCCTTCCCC